TGTTTTTTAAATTAACGCTTGCCTGACCTAACAAACCGAGTGGCCAGTCTGGATTCTTCGTATCTTGGTAACGAACTTATTTTCTATTGTTACTTGCACTTAATTAGGGAACGCACGCAACTCTTCCTTCTAAATAAGTTTAAAGAGCATTGTTTAATGAGCAGAGATTCTTGCGTTATTTTTCAAGTAAAAGGAAACTTTAAGACATGTTATTGTGCTCTTATGTAAAGCCAATCATATTTTAGTAATATTTCAACTTTCGTTCCCATTGCATTCTTCACAAGTATTATAATTAATTCTTCTTTAAGTTAAAGACCGTCCCTTATATTTCTAAATCTAAAAATAAAACAGTAATGAAGATTTTAGAGACAAACTAAAGATGTACCTCACAAAACTATACATTTTCCTCTACAACTTAAATTATAAATTGAAAATAAGAAAGCGGTTCAATGATTTAGACGATAATCGAGAAATCCGACGATATTTTGTTTGGAATTGAAGTCAATGAATCCCATGTATCACGGGATTGATTTTTTGTTTATTTGAAAGGAGATTGGAAATCCCTTGTTTCACACTTGACGTAATGCTGACCCAAGCATTTGACCCTCCTTGTGCTCATGTGGAAGTAGCCAGAGAAGATATTTATATAAACTCGTATATTTTGAAGGTTTAAAGCCATGCGATATATTATAAGGCGATAGATTATTTGTCCGGTATACGAGAAGGTGACTTGCTTCTCTCTACGCTGTGATGGAGTGCCTCGACTACCAACCACATCCATTTCAAAGTCGACAGATTTTTCTTATTTGACGAGTTGAAATCGTTCTGGTCCGATCGAGATGCCAATGACAGTCACTCGGAGATTCTCCCACGTAACTTCACCATCCAACAACAAGGATTAAATTTAACGACAAAAATGCTTCGCAAATCATTCAAAATGACCGATCTATCACGCACTGAGAAATTTATATGGAAATCTGAGTCCGATTTTACTGATAAGTAGTTAAATTGGTAGAAACTATGCTATGATCTGTAAACTTTTATTTTTTTATAACTATAAAACATGAAGATATCGATAACTCCGAGTCTTCGACTCGGAGTCATCGATTTCAATTAAACTTTTTCAAAAAATTAATTTCAAAATTCAATTATTTCTAAAAATTCACGCTATATTGCTTTTAATATTCAATTATAATCTAAAACTTTAACTGAAATTCATTTTTATAAAATGAATATCAATTTTTATTAGAAAATTCTACAAGAATTTAATTATTGAAATGCAAAAGTAAATAATTTATTGAATAATTGAATATCTCTAAAAATTCAGTTCTCATAAAGAATTTTATTAACAAATTTTTAAATAATTGAATTCTTTTGTCGAATTTTATTAAAACTTGCATGAACATAATTACTTTTTTCAAGGAATTCATTTATAATTGAATGAAAAATAATTGAAACCCTGCGATGAGTTTTATTATTAGTAAAAATAATTTAATCCTTAAGAAGAATTTTATTACTCTTGAAAATAATTGAATTTCTGCAATAATTTGTAACTTCTCTAAAATTAAACTTTTTTTCTAGTGTTTTTAACTAAAATTCTTCAATAAATCCATTATTTTTAATAATTTTTAAAAAAGTTCTTTGAGAATTTTCAAATTCATTCGTTTACAATTCAATCATAAAAAAATTTCAATTATTCGGAAATTCTGCAAATAAATATATATTGAAAAATAAGAACTTGAAATAATTTCAATAAAAATTTTATTAAACTTTTAAAAAGAATTAATTCTACAGAATTGTTTGTCAAAAATATGAAAAATTAAGAATTTCAATGATTTTAATTTGAAACTTTTTCAAAATTTAATTATTTCTAAAAATTCACGTTATAATGCTTTTAATATTTAATTATAATCTAAAATTTTAACTGAAATTCATTTTTAATACCATTTTTATTAGTAAATTCTACGAAAATCCAATTATTTAAATACAAAAAAAAAATAATTTATTAATTTCATGTTTCTTGAAATTCCCATAAAAAATGTTATCAACAAAATTTTAAATTATTAAATTCTTTGGACGAATTTTAATAAAATTTTTAAGAATAATTACATTTTTCGACGAATTCAATTAAAATTGCATTAAAAATAATTTAAATTATACAATGAGTTTTATTATTTAAATGAAAATAATTGAATTCCTAAAAGAATTTTATTATTTATAAAAATAATTGAATTTGTGTAAAAATGTTATTATTTATGAAAATAATTAAGTTATTGCGAAGAAATTTAAAAAAAAATTTGTAAACAATTGAACTCCTGTAAAAAATTTTATTATTTATGAAAATAATTGAATGTTTGCGTAGAATTTTATAAAAAAGTTTAAAAAGAATTGAATTTCTGTTGTAAAATTTGGTTATTTTTTAAAATAATTGAATTCATCGTTAGAATTTTATAAACAATGTTTTAAATAATTAAACTTTTCGAAATATAATAAATATTATGAAAATTTTATTTTAAATAATCGAATTCTTGTGCAAAATTTTATTTGTGAAAATAATTGAATTTCTCGATTAATTAATTTAAAATGGTATTAAAAATAATTGAAATTTTTCGATGAGTTTAATTATTTATGAAAATAATTAAAATTCATAGAATATTATTACTCTTCAAAATAATTGAATTTCTGCAATAATTTGTAACTTTTCCAAAATTAAATTTTTTTTCTCGTGTTTTTAACTAAACATCTTTTTTAAATCCATTATTTTTAATAATTTTTGAAAAAATTCTATCAGAATTTTCAAATTCATATTTGTTTACACTTCAATTTTACAAAATTTCAATTATTCGGAAATTCTGCAATTAAATATTTATTGAAAAATAAGAACTTGAAATAATTCCAATAAAAATCTTATTAAACTTTCAAAAAGAATTAATTCCACAGAATTTTTTTGTGAAAAATATGAAAAATTAAGAATTTCAATGATTGTAATTAGAAACTTTTTCAAAATTTAATTATTTCTAAAAATCCACGTTATAATGCTTTTAATATTTAATTTTAATCTAAAATTTTAACTGAAATTCATTTTTAAAACCATTTTGAATAGTAAATTCTACAAGAATTCAATTATTTAAATACAAAAATAAATAATTTGTTAATTTCACGTTTCTTGAAATTAAATTCTCATAAAAAATGTTATCAACAAATTTTTTAATTCATTAAATTCTTTGGACGAATTTTAATAAAAATTTTAAGAATAATTACATTTTTCGAGGAATTCAATTAAAATTGCATTAAAAATAATTGAAATTCTGCAATGAGTTTTATTATTTATGAAAATAATAATGAATTCCTAAAAAGAATTTTATTATTTATAAAAATAATTGAATCGCTGTAAAAAAGTTATTATTTTTGAAAATAATTGAATTATTGCGAAGAAATTTAAAAAAATTTTTGTAAATAATTGAATTCCAGTAAAAAATTTATTATTTATGAAAATAATTGAATGTTTGCGTATAATTTAATGCAAATTTTTTTTAATAATGGAATTCTTTTGGAAAATTTTATTGAAATAGTAGATATTGAAAATAATTGAATTTTAGAAAACTTTTGATAATAATTGAAATTTTGACAAGAATTTGATTAAAATTTTGTAAAATAATTGAATATCAGATAAGAATTTTATTATTTATAAAGAGAATTGAAATTTTTACGAAAATTTTTAAAAATTTTCGAACATAATTGAATTTAGTAATTATGTTACTAAGTTAGTTAGTAAGTTAGTAACTAACTTACTAACTTACTATTCTTCCTGGAGAATTTAAATTCGTTGAATTTTTACAAATCGTTGACTTTGGTGTTTTATTTAAAGTAAAATTTCATTCATAGCTTAAAAATAACACCAAAATAGATTATTTTAATCCTTTCTGGTGTTATTTTAACACCATCACGTTTTACTGTGTTAAGAAAATGATTAGTTTTACTTTTTTCTTTATTTATGTATACCTGATAATAAAGATAAAATTTTCCTAAAAGTCCAGAGATGGGATGATAGTTTTTTTTTAAAAAAGTTGTTGAAGAACATAAGACTAATAAGAATAAAAATTTTCTCTAAATTTTAACAAATGATCGAAACTTTTCAAATATTCACGGATGTTTCTGTAAATTTCCGAGTTTTTACCGATGTAACAAAAATCCCAGTCTTTTCCAAAATTCTCTAACTCTAGACACCCTTGATGTATCATAGAGGATTGAACGATTGGTTCAAGTTATAGTAATCGAGATTACGCAAATCCTGGTCACTTTTTATGAAAATTGAAGAACCAATGTAGTTAAAAAAAATTTCTAGTCTATATAACTGTATCGTTGTATTCAGAACTCAATTCTCGTGCAAAAGGTCACCACGAATGAGAGGCAGCTGTACCGACTTAACTTCACATCGAGATTTAATTCCCCGTGAAATGAAACCGACTTGTGCACAACGCGAAAGGACTTGCGGAGATTTACTTTGGTAAGGATTTTTGGGGATTTTAGGTTTGACGTTCCTACATAAGAAAAGACATTTCCTCGAACCCTGGATTCTCCTCACACGAGACAAATTCTTTTGATTTCTATATACATATGGGCGATTCCAAGTGAAATTTCTGTCGACATTTTTTAAATACGTTCAAATAACATTTATTTTCTTTTTTTGTCCAATAAAACAGATACAAATATTTGAAAATTTGCTTATTTTTAAATGACTTCGATTATTAAAATTATAGGCATATCTAGTTTTAATATAATTAACTAATATATTAATATATAACCATTTACTGGAATTTTTTTAGAAATTCGATTGAATTGTTCTTAATAAAATTCTATAAAAAATTCACTAGATTTTATGCCTAGATGCATTCTATAGAATAATTCTAAAGTTCAATAGAACTTTTTTGATGATGGGATTAGGAGATGTGGTCAATGTGGATAGGACAATGGGATAGAAATAATTATCGCAATTAAAATCAATGCATTATTTTATGATGTATTATCATTTAATTTATTTTAAGTTAAAACCTTTTTTTTATACAATAATATCTTACATACATTTTTACACCATTTATACCTCCGCGCGAATTTTTATGCCTGATCTTCAGTGTATGATACGTGTATTTAGCAAAATGTGTGTATTGCATTTGATCGTGCTCACAGCAAATAACAATTTTTTTTTTTTAAATGTATTTTTATTTATTTTTCACATTCATCCGCGCCTTCTGAAAAAGACAATATCGTACAGGCTCTATATGCGCTACATTCTAATAATACTATTTTAATAAGATACCATTCTTTTTCACTTAAATTTATGTCCGTGTTTGGAAAAAAAAGTGTTAAAAGACAGAAAACAGAAATTTTTTGTTATCTTATATTTTAAAGTCTTAAAATTCAATGAAGGGAAATAAACTTTTTTCTTCTTGCGTCATTAACACAATTTTCCAAAAGCAGACATATTTTTTTTTGCGGGCTTAAATGTCGAAAAAACACCTACGTGCGCCTCTCACCTCGTAATTTGCGATTTTCAAAAATTTCCCGCTCTCATTCCTTTTATTCATTCGTATCTATCAGTCTTTTAGAAAATCGCAACAAAGTGCTTCAGGGTGACGCTCCGTAAAATCCATCATCACTATTACACTAGAACAAGTTAACTTCTTGTAGTCGAAAAAAATCACAATGCGGTACTCAACGCAACGGAGAGTTTTTAGTGTTTCATTCATGATGTAGTATTAGGAGACCTCATTCCTATGTGCAATGTCGAAAAACAACAGTTTTCCCACTTCTTTAAATAATATCTAACAAGTCAAGTATTTTTTTTTTTTTTTTTTTTCATCGACACTTTTGGTATAATATTTAAAGAATTGGGTGAAAAAACTTTTCCCGAGAGCAAAATCTCCTTATATTACTTCGTCGTTTTTAATTAATATTTCTTTTTATGTATACATATTTATAAGTCCAATGACTATTTTTATCGGTATACTCTCTCATCTTAATACTTTTGACTATCTATATAAAATGTTATGTGATTAAAACACTATAGTAATTTTTTTCTTATGCACAGTCGCGTCTTTCGCAGTGCGAAAATTTTTACTCACATTTTTCGCAATATAGCTGTCTGACCGATGATACACTTGTAACTGTTATAATTATTAATTAATTAATAACACGATACACAATCTTGAAGATAAAAAATTTACAATTCTCCGTGCGCGTCTCGACTATTTTTTTTTTATTTTTTATTTATTTGAGCTACGATTTTTACTCCAGATGCCAATCGCATACCGAAAATTACAAACACATATCTCTTATATGACGATGACAGTGTTGCGATTTTTCTCCAGCTAATATCCCCATTCTCTTTGAAAATCATTTCCAAATTTATTATACACATAATTATACAATTATAATAAATAATTAGTTTATCTAATTTTAAAATTATCTAATATACAATGAAAATTTTTCAAAAGATGAATTTGAAAATGTAAAAAAAAAATCTTTCTTTCAAAGAAATAGAAATTTTATTTTGAAAATTTTTGTTAAATTAGAGAATTTTTCGATTAGCTTTTTTTAATGGCGCGCACTGGGAACCATTATCAATTTACAGGAAATATCATTTTTTTTATCACTACCACACGAAACGAAGAGTGACACGATCGGACGATTATTCATAAAAGGTTTTTTTTAAAATTGTTATTATTTTTATATTTTTACCTTTTAAAATTTTTTTGTATATTACAATTCTAAATAATTTCTTTGCACAGCCTCCTGAAAAAAATGGATACTTTTTAAGAGTATTTTGAATCGAGAGAGTCGACACGTAAGCGTCCGATCGAGCGCACTTGAAAAATATTCATTATCTTAAATTGCACGATACCTTTGATTAACTAAGCTTTTCTCGTTCACGTCAGCGGCTCACTGTATATAAAAGACGCGTCAATATTGTTTAAAAATTTTTCATCAATTGCCGAATTCCATTGGGTTTCATCCAACATTTTTTCACAATTGTTCTCTTCAAAAAAAAAAAAAAAAAAAAAAATTATGTTTTTTTTAACAAATTAATAAAATATAAATTAAAATACATACGGATTACAATTCGATATTTTATTTTTTATTCACAAAGATGAAAGATAAAAGTTTTTTTTTTCTAAAAGATAGAAAAGCGTCATAGGAATTTTGTCCATTTTAATATCCGCAGACGTGACGATCGTTTTCGCACAACGCGAATTTGTGCTTTAAAATAATTAAATTATTAAAAATAATATATATATACATACATATATAAATATGATAAATGTATATATGTATATATATACGTATATAACACTCTATACAAGTATGACTTTTTTTGTACTTGGGGCCGGGGCGCAATGACCCTAATTATTCATTTTTTTATCTTACATATTTACAAAATATTTGCTCAACTATTACATGTCTTATATAACTTTATTTAAGTGTATTCTCCCGATAATTTCTCTTATAGAATAAAAGGAGAAGAAGGTTCTTTTTTTCTAAAGAAAAAGAAAGGAACGGGTTTCACCCGAAAATTATTTAATGCTAGTTGACGGTCTCCATTCATGTATATTCTGATCTCCAACCACTCTGTAACAGAAAAAAAATATATTTAATTCCTTGAATTTCTTTTTTAAATTAATTTGGAAATAAAGTTACAACTTCTCCCTCTTTTTTTTTTTTTTTTTTTTTTTTTTTTTTTTTAATATTGTTTATATAAAAAAATTTAATTCTTGATCCCAAAAATCCCCGAGTAACAAGTTTCAATAAAACCTACTGTCTGGGTTTCCCGGAAGCATGAAGGGGTTAAATAAATTGAATTTTGGAAATAAACTCAAAATTGTTAGAAACAATTGATTTAGAAAAGAGTTTTAGTTAAAATTTCTAAAAAAGATAATCGAGTAATATTAATGAAAAATTTTGTTAATAAATACTTTAAAAAAAAATTAAATTTTTTTTTTTTGAAATTTGTAAAAAGAAGGTGAGACCTGAACTTTTGAATAATTTTGATGAAAGATTAGAAACTTGACTTACCATAGCGTTCGTCGTGGCTGCTAATTGAAGACCCTGAAGACTCGTCATGTGATGAGAATGAGAATGTGAATGTGAATGTGGGTGAATTGAAGGTGGCGCTGGCGGTGCGAATCCTTGATGAAGACCTCCGGGAACCCCTACACCAGGGTGGTACATGTAATGCTGCATTGGATGCATTGGATGATGATGTTGCGATGAACCTATAATCACAAGATTTTAATATTATTATTATTATTATTTTTTTCATTCAGACACTCAAAATAATGATTTTTTTGGTATAAATTCGCTTTTAACTGAAGAGAGATTATGCCCCATTCCTTTTGTAATAAAAAAAATGGTTTAGTTTAACAAAAAGAAAAATATTAATCTTTAAAATTTTTAAATGTATAATCTATAAAAATATATATTTTTATAGATTATACTTTTAAAGATTTTAAAGATAAAAAAGTTGTACTACGTAAATTATTTTTTATTTTATCGTGTAAAGTGTTTTTTAGCTTACCCATTGGGGAACCAAATCCAGAATGAAACGGTTTATTATCGAGATCAAGATGTCCACTGGCCTTAATCATGTCTCCCATTACTCCACCTAGTCCCAAACAGCCTCCAGCCTTCTTCTTTTTGCTTTTTGAAGATAACTTTCGATTCCTGGTTTGAATTCCCTCTTTTTTCATTGTTAGTGGCCGATTAACCTGCAACAATAACATAAAATTCGATTCATTAATTTTCATAATTATAATATTTATCTAATTTTCTTTAAATAGTTTTACTATTATTTTTATTTCTATAATTCGAATTTCGATCAGTCTCCGCAGTTGAAACGTCGGAACAATAACTGATTACGGAAATTCAATGATTTTCAAAAATGATAAACTTCTTCGCATAAATTCAATTATTTTCAAAAATTTTAAAAAAAAATTTTTTTTTTTTCGTCAAATTTTCAATTATCTTTATAAATAATAAAATTCTTTAACGAAATTTAATTAATAAAATTGCAATTTTAATAAAATTTTCCTGTACAATTCAATTATTTTTAATACAATTCTTCTTAAGAATTCTAATATTTTCACAAATAATACATTTTTTATAGGAATTCAATTAAATTTAAAAAAAAAAATTGAATAAAATTCTTCGCAAGAAATATATTTATTTTTTAAAAAAATTTTCATAAAATGCTGTATAAATTTGAAAAATTATAATAAAATTGATCATAGAATACGATTATTTTCGTAAAATATAACATTCTTCCTAGACATACAATATTATTGTCAAACATTTTTGTAAAAATCCTCGAAACAATTGAATTATTTTCGTAAAAAATAAAATTCTTTAAAGCAATTAAATTATTTAAGGAATTTTTAATAAAATTCGCTTTCCAAGAATTCAATTCTTTTAATAATAACATTTTTCACAAGAATTGAATTATTTAAAACAAATTTAATAAAATTCTTCCTCAGATTTCAATTATTTTCAATTTTTTAATGAAATTTCTCGATAAAATTTCATTATTTTCAAAAAGTTATTAAAAGAATGTTAAAATTTCAATTATTTTCATAAATAAGAAAACTTATCGCAAAAGAATTCAATTATTTACAAAATATTAGAATTTTTCACAGAAATTCAATTATTTTCAAATAGTTTAATAAAATTGATCGAAAAAAATTAATTTTTTTAAATACAATTTTAATTAAATTTTTTTTAAATAATGCAATTAATATTAATACAAAAATTATTCTCGAAAATACAATTATTTTAAGGCATTTTACTAAAATTCTTTGCAAAATTCAATTATTTTCATAATTATAAGAATATTCATCACAAGAATTCAATTATTTTTAAAAGTAATAAATTTCTTCTTGGAAATTCAATTATTTTAAAAAATTCTATATTAAAATCGTTCGCAAGAATTCAATTATGTTCATAAAAAATAAAATGCTTTTTAGAAAATCAATTATTTTCAAAAAAAATTTAATAAAATGCCACGCAGGCTTACAATTATTCTCAAAATTTTTAATAGAATTTTTCTCATCAAAATTCAATTATCTTTAAAAATAATCAAATTCTTCTCCAAATTTCAATTATTTTCAATTTTTTAATGAAGTTTCTCGATGGAATTGAATTATTTTCAAAAAATTTTTTTAAATTCTGAGAAATTCAATCATTTAGAAAAAATTTTGAATAAAATTCTTCAGGAGAAATTAATTATTTTTATAAATAATAATATTTTTCACCGAAATTTAATTATTTTCATAAATAACAAAACTTATCGCAGAATTTCAATTATTTTTATGGAATTTTAAATAAAATTATAGAAAATTGCATTCATTCTTCTTTAAATTTCAATTATTTTAAATTTTTTAAATCAAATTTCACGATGGAATTCAATTATTTTTAAACAGTTTTAAAAAATTCTGAGAAATTCAATTATTTAAAAAGATTTTGAATACAATTCTGAGAAATTCAATTATTTAAAAAAAGTTTGAATACAATTCTGAGAAATTCAATTATTTAAAAAAAGTTTGAATACAATTCTGAGAAATTCAATTATTTAAAAAAAGTTTGAATACAATTCTGAGAAATTCAATTATTTTCATAAATAATAATATTTTTCTTCGAAATTCAATTATTTTTATAAATAATAATATTTTTCTTCGAAATTCAATTATTTTCATAAATAACAAAACTTATCGCAGAATTTCAATTATTTTTATGGAATTTTAAATAAAATGATAGAAAATTGCATTTATTCTTAATTTTTTTTTTAAATTCACCGAAAGAATTCAATTATTTTAAAAAATTGTTGATAGAATTCTTCATAAAAATTCAATTTTAAAAAATATTCAATTATTTAATAAATTATTTATTTTTGTATTTAAATAATTGAATTCTCGAAAAATGTTCTACTATAAAAATTGATTAAGAAATGAATTTCACTTAAAATTTTAAATTGTAATTGGAAAATATATTTGAAAGCATTGTAAGGTGAATTGATGTTATTGATGTTTTGGAATAATTTTACTTTTGAAGAAGGTACCAATGTTAATGCCGAATCGTTGTGCCACAGTCTAAAATATATAATTATTGAGCACAATGGTTTATATTAATTATCTACTCAGAAAAAAATATGTGTTAAATTTGTTGCGTGTAGTTTTCAGATGGTGTTATTTTAACACAATTTTGGTGTTATTTTAACTCCTATTAAAAATGTATATCAACTTAACACTCTCTAATGGTTATTTAACACGCTTTAGGGTTATTTAAACACCAATGAAGTGTTAAAATCACGAAGTATCGGTTAAAAATGTTGCGTGTTGCTTTAACACTACTTTTAGTGTTAAAATAATACTTCTTTTTTCCTGTACAATGTAATCCTGATTTTTAATTTTCTTTTTGAAAATAATTACTGGATGGAATCACTAAGTTTTGTTAAGTTAAAATTTAGTCTGTAAGTCAGGAAAAAAGTCAGAGAATAGTCAGGGAAAAAGAAAATTAATTTTTTTGTGACAACCCTGTAAATGCGGTTCGTCTACAATCGGCAAAACTTTGTCATCCATCAACCGTTGATCGGTCCCCGACCATTGGCTAACCAAGTTGGACCAAGCATATACATATTCACACGGTGTCTGTTTGTACCTCTCATTCGCAGAGTATCGTTAAAGTTATCGGTGACAAAAACTCCTAAAGGTTGGCATGGCGCGAGTCTTACTTTTATAAATAAGCACGCGAGACAGCAGTCAGGAATACTTATCAGTCGGATCATCTCTGGTTCTGTTGGTTAAGGGTTAACGTCCCATCGCATTCTTGAAAATCAACCCGAGAGCTGCGGCAATTAAGACGATGTGACGATCGTTCGCGCCAACTTTGAATTTTGAAAGCAAACCGCCTTCATGTACATACTTGAATTTGGTGCGAGAAATTTAAATTCTTATATTCATTAACACACACCCCCACACATAAATATTATAATCTTTCAGATTCTTTACAGAATTATTTTCAATTAACCTCATATCTGACCTTCATTAACAAAAAACAACTTTCATTTCCATTATCTTTCTAGAATTGCATTTTCATTTTTTTGAAAACAAGTAATTGTAAGAGAAAATTAGAATGGAAAAATGAGGAGCGGGTTATGTTTGCGAGCACCCTAACAGAGAGAGAAAGAGAGAGAGAACTTGGAGAAAAATCAGCCAAGGACGCAAGTGGTGCAGGAATTATTGCTGGAACAATGAGCTGACGCAACTTCGTGTAACTTGCTGAGCAATAACGCCACAGACGTTACTTACTCGGATGGTAGACACGGTGCAACTCGTGTCGAAGGAGCGTATATAACATATATATATATATATAAATCGTTAATCCCATAAATCGTTCGCATAATCGATGGCACGTTGTTTCACTCTTAGTTTAAAGAGAGAAAGAAAAAAAAACTGCCTTGTGGAATAGCTTTAATCTTAAGTGAATTTTTTACCACAGACACACTCGTGGCGATTAATATTTTTAATTGGGACGCGCAATCCATTTTTTAATCAGGGTCAGTGATACTACACAAACAGAATCCCGTGCGCAAATATAAACTCTTATAATAGAAAATATTTCAAATTTTCTTATTTCATCATCAAGAATATAACAATCAGACACAATGAAACTTGAAAATTGTATTGTACTTTTCAAACTTGTCGGATTGGAAATTAATTTCAAAGTCCTCTTGATTTATTTATTAATCACTTATGGAGTCTTTAACGGAGGAAAAGATTGTTGCAAAATTTTATTAATTCGCATAAAACACTTTACGGGATGTCTACTATTTTCGTTCAACAAAATTCTTGGTTATTTTCCGACTTTGTCCTAATTTTTCCCGGTTTTTTTATTCTCATCAAATTTAAATTTATTTGATTTCGAACATAAATAAATCTACAAATGGCTTCCAAAATTTCTATTAGAGTTTTTATGAATAATTAAATTTTTTTGACGAGTTTCTTTAAATTTTTTTTTGAAAATACTGTTTTTTTTAATAATTTAAAATTTGGAAAATAATTGAATTAAACAAAGAATTTAAAAAAATTTTTTAAAAGTAATTTTGTCTATTTATAATTTTATAATTATAATTGAAAATTTTATTAATTTAATTTTATTAAAATGTATTGATACTAATTGAATTTTTGACAAAGAAATTTAGGATAAAAGTATAATTGAATCCTTCCAAAGAATGTTATTATTTATGAAAATAATTAAATGTTTGCGTAGAATTTTATTAAAATTTTCGAGAATAATTGAATTGTAGAAAACAATTTAATTATTTATAAAGATCATTGAAATTATGACAAGAATTTTTTTCTTTTAACATATAATCTAAAATTTTAACTGAAATTAATTTTTAAATAAATTTTTATTAGAAAATTCTACGAGAATTTAATTATTTGAATACAAAAATAAATCATTTATTTTATAATTGAATCTTTCTTGAAATTCAATTATCATAAAGAATTTTAAACACAATTTTTTAAATAATTGAATTTTTCTGACGAATTTTATTAAAATTTTTTTTAAAAATTTGAATTTTAGAGAGGAATTTTATTATTTAAAAAGATAATTGAAATTTTGCCAGGAATTTTATTAAAATTTTTGAAAATATAATTGAATTTCGGGAAAAATTTTATTATTCATATAAAAAATTGAAATTTTGATAAGAATT